AAAAAAGAAACTAACCAGGGGAAGGCCTGCTGCTGTAATAAATTATTTAAAGCAAGCAGGGTGAGCAGGTTGTGAAGACAATATAAAACAGAATCAATACCCCCAGGAAACCCCAAACCATCTACACCTCTATAAATTTCTTACCACCCTATCTGGCATTTTACTGGAGGTATTTCTTTTCTACCACGCTACCCATCCCACCCCCGACCCTTCACTTTTTGTCCAGTTCTTTTCTCAGAGCTTAACATTTGTTTTCCTTCTGTAACCCAGGATGCTGTCTTCAGTTATATTTTTCAGCTTGTATCAGGAATGTCTGTGAGGCCACAGATGAGTGCATCTGTCACTTCATTCATCTGGATCTTAAATTTCCCACTGACACTGTAAGCTGGGAATATCTAATATGATACACATATCAACATGACTTCAACATTATCCTTCATCTTTTTCTTTTTTCATACTATTGCTGTCATTAAATCCACAAGCTCAAGCTGTTGTGAAACTTCTGTAGCTCAATGACTGTCTTATATTAAAGAATATTACTAGACCCAAAAAACTAAAGTGAAGGTTAGGAACTTGAGGGGGCATTTTGGAGGAGAAATAGTAAAATGGCTAAAAAGGAAGAACTGGGAGATGTTAAGAGGGCAGATTGACTTAAAAAGTAAATTTTTTACAAGTGGATTTTGCTATGGGAATAAGGGTTAAAAAGAAGGATAAAAAACTTGAAAGGAATTTGTTAAAGAAAAGTTATGTGCCAGGAGAATGCCATAGCTAGAAAAAAAAAGTTATAATAGAATTGTTGCTTAGAAGCTTGCAACGACCTATGGCCCAGTTTCAAGAAAAATAGCATTCTACTATAGTTTTTTAACTGGGCAGAAATCAGTCCCATTGTATGATCAGGGGCCCTGGATAGTATATTTTAGGCTTTTCCATTTTTCTAAGTCTATCCAATCTCACAGAAGCTAAGCATATAAAACATAAGCAACTCTATTTTGCCAGAGTAAAAGCATTAGCAGTTTAACATGACAATAGAGAAAACAGCACAGGGCTAAAACACAGGTCTAAGGGATTCTACATGTAGGCTTTGCTGCTTTTGTAATCTGTGACTTTAAGCAAATTATTTGCCTCTCTGGGTCAAGGCTGGCTTGAACTAATTATTATATATGGTAGTTAACTTCATAAGGAAAACTATTACAAGATCACATTCAGTATAAGGAAAAATTTGAAGAAAAAGTTTTAAAAATTGTAGATGATATGAATGACTAAGCATAACCCTAGCATATCACCATGATGCAAAATAAAAACATTTTAAAATGCAAGGCCAACTTTTCAGTTATTGGTGTCATCTTTGAATATGAAAGACAAGATCTAAATATTATCTTTTTGTAGCTGCTGTTTGCTCATCTGGAACAAAGTAGAAAAAAATCATTGTCTTCAAAGGATTGTTAAGATAAGTGACCTATCAACATGCCTGCCAAGTGCTTCTTTAAGCGGAAATTACTCTCTAAAAGTCCCATGATGATCCAGTGGTCTGGAACAATCCAAGTTCAATACCCCGGCCTATCCACATCCTTCTGTTATCAGGATACTTCTCACCTCTGAAAGAAGTCATTTGGATTTTTAGGTAGTTGGATGGTAGAAAGAGGGAAGGGTAACTTCTGATAGATCCTTTGTCTTTCAAACCTTATTTAGGAGTCTTAAATGGAGAATTATGCCAGTCTGAAATAGGAGAACAGAATCCAAATGTCAGTATCAAATGATAAATAAAAAACTAATTGGCAGTAATTAACAAAAATTCACAGTGATCTCAGCGAAAGGAGAGGTAGCAAACAATTCTCAACCCACATCTCTGTTACAATGAGAAAATCTATTTACCCAATTAATTAGGCAGCTCAAAATACTCCTAAGGTGACTTTCAGAAAATAAGAATCCCTGGGCCTCTGGGTGGGTGGCCTGAGCCACTCTTCCTGGCCACAAGCAAAACAGCCACAGCTTCCCAAGGAGATCCTAGATCTCATATAGTCAGTAGTAGCCCAGCTGAGGTGCTGGGCTTTGTTCTAGAACAGCTTTTAAAGAGAAAAAGGGTGTCTCATGAGGATGAGGATTCTACCTTTCAGAAGGAAATGCTCAACCATGTGAGTTAGAACTGGCAAAGTCACTCCCAGAGCATCCCAGGACTCCACCGAACTCAGAGTGGGGCATGAAGGAACTAAGACTGGTGTTGTGGGGGGTGGTCTTAAATTAATCAGGTCTTGTTTCATCAGGCGGACTTCCTTAGAATCAGGGCTGACCTGGAATAGGTATAGCTGATGATTCCAAAACACTTTCAAACATAGGACAAAAGAGGCCCATTGTTGAAGACAGAGTTAATGCATTGCCTATAAATTTCACATGGCCAGTAAAGGCTACCTGGACATTTCTGAACAATTATTTGTTAACTCATAGACTATAATTGTTCTTTTATGTCATTAACACCATTCCAGTGTTTCCCAAAGTACAATGAAGGGATCCTTGGCATCAGAATCAGCTGGGGGTGCCTGTGAAAATGCAGATTCCTAAGCTCCACCCCAGACTCCTAAATTGAAACCCTGGAACTGAAGTCCAGCCCAAGAACTGAATTTCTAAGAAACAGCCTAGTTAATCTGGATGATTCATATCAAGGTAGGAAAATTATTATGTCTATATAGTCCATTAGAAATTTAAAGACACTCACAGATTGGTGTTTTGCATGTTTTCCCCAAAGGGTTTATATACCATAAAATTGAAAACAATACTTCTTGTGATGAGTTTTTAAAAATCAGTACAGTTTATTCTGCTCATATATAATGAACACCATTATTAAAATGTAATTATGAGCATAAAATTATTGGGAAAAATATCAGCTATGCTTCTCAAAAATACTGCCTTTATTTTGCCACCAAAGTAATTATGCTATTAAAGGAATTTATTGTTTTTTAAAGTATCAGTCACTTGGCTGCAAGAACTTATTAAGCTATTATACTCCTCTCATACCCTTTTAGTCATCAGAATTTTTGTGATAAAGCCTTTTTATTATTTTTAAATTATAAATTGTATACCATTGCAACTAATGATTAGACTGAATATGAATATATGTCCAAGTTATAAATTCCTAAAAGCGTGTTTCATTAATTACTATGGCAGTCTTAACTATAGCCTCTGCAATAAAGCTCTGTTTATTTCTATTAAGGTGTTTTTTTTTTTTTTTTGGTGCAAAACTATTTAGTTTTAATGCATTCTTTTAACAAGCAAAAGCAAATGGTTTCTGATATACATGCCATATTGCAAAGCTGTAAACCAGTGTTGCATGGTGATATGACAAGCACCACATTTCTAGAGGGATTATTATTTTTTTTCTCCTACAAGATCCCCTTCCCCAAGCCGTGGCTATAATTATTGCACAAAATGCAGTTTGCCGTTTGTAGAGACAAACTCTCCCATCTCCTTCTCTCCCTCACCAAAACTGCAAGTTCAGGGCAAATATTGAATGAAAATAGAACTTGTGAGGCAGGCTTTGTTTGTAGCATGTTGTTTCTGCTAAGAGTTGCCCCCTACCCACGCTCCACCCCAGTGCTCGGACTGAAGTGTACATGTTGTGTTTTAACAGATGGGCTGGCTGGCGGCTGCTGGGCTGTAAAACAGGAACGCGGAATCTGCACCGAATGGTATTGAACCAAACGCTCGTAAAGTTCACGGACATACTCTGACCCAGACAGACCAGGCAGATGCAGACATGCTTACGCATACACACTCACTAACACCCCACAGCTCAAAGAGTCCATCTCTGTGACCCAAGGGAAGTTCAAGGTTGAGTTTCCCCTTCATATATTTACCTCATTCACCTATTAATTTTATAAACATACACATACTCACACATATACACGTATATATGTGTGTATATGCGCATCTACATCTACATATACACATACAGAACTATATATCTCAACATTTTCATGTATTTCCAAAGGTCTAAACATCCCCAAATTCTGGACTTGACTGTCTAGTATTTTCAAAAGCTCTCATTCACGTCAAATAAGAATTACAAGAAAACATCGTACTGAATCTATTTAGTCCACACATAATATAAACAACATGCATGTAGTTGGCCTCGGAAAAACAAGCTGCTTTTACTCCCTTAGCATTAAGGGGGGAAAAAAATCTAACCCAGACCGAGTCACAAACGGAGTGTCAGGTTTAACCTTGAGTTCTTTGCTGTCAATTCCTGACTCAACTTCACCACTTAAACACGCAGGTGCTCAAACACCAACCGACCAGGCTGGCGATCCCTTTTGCAGCCTCTAGGATTCTCTGGGGCTCTGGGCACCAGAACCGACAGCAGCTCCCACCTGGTCCTAACGAAGTCCTTCGGACAGCCCTAGCGAGTAGATGTGGAGGTCCGAGCACCTCAGGAGGGACATGGATTCAAGTGCCAATAGAAAGCAATTACTTTACAAAGTTCAAAGCCAGCGGTGCTGTCAATTCTTCTCAGTAGCTGCAAAGCACTGAAGCCTCCGCTACGGAACCCGGCTGGACACTCCGGCTCTTTGGCGCTGAGACCCACCCTGAACCCATAAGCGCTCGCTCAGCCTGGGGATCCAGACCGGGACGCGGGTCTTATCTTGCGGCACCGCGCGGGTAATTTCTCAGGAACCGCGGTCTGCACGCCGCGGGCGCGGAGGCCGCCCAGCTCTCCGTGTCGTCGCCGCAGAGGGGCAGGGGACGCGTTCCGGCCCCACCTACCCAAGTCAGTTACCCCAAGTTGGTGCGGACTGGAGCCGCGTCCCGGGCGGAGTTGGGATGCTTTGAAAACAACAAGTTCGGGAGTGGGGATATTGGCACGGAGTGAATCCTGCCCGGCCCTGGCCTCCGCACAGAGGTCACGCTCGGACGAACGGACAGCGGAGCTCCAGGACACATCCCGTCCCCGCTCGCCCGCCGCCGAACCGCGCGGAGAGGAGCCGCTAGCTCGGCGCGCGGCCACTCACCCTCCTCGCTGAGTCCCGATCGCAAACCGACGTCCCTGCTGTGGGTTCTAAATCCCAAGTTGCCCCCACTCGGTGGCTGCTCACGCCCCAGCGGACCGGGGCACATTGGCTCCGGCGGGCACCTCAGGAGGAGTACAGCAAGCCTGGCGGCAGCCACGGCTTAACCGCCCGGAGCGCGCTGACAGTTCACGGACCTGCTCAGCGAATGAGGCGGAACGCCGGGCTGCGCCGAATAGGCTCCGGAGGGGAGGCGGGGCCGCGCGGCGGGAGGGGCGGAGCCAGCCCCAGGGCGTCATCAGCTCATGACTGGCGAAGGCGACAGTCAATCGTGGTGGCGCTGGGGCCGCCCCGCAGCCGCTGTCCGAGGGCAGGCTGCGGAGACGCGCCGGCGGCTGGGAAGTTGGCTCCTGCGAAGTGCGGTGGCTGCCGGCGGGCGCTGCGGGGTGGGACGCTAGCGGCTCTGGAGGGAGGCGGCGGCCCCAGAAGGAAGTTGGCTGAGAGATCAGGAGCCCCCGGAGCGGCCGCGCACCTCGCCCTGTGGAGCAAAAAGCCAACCGCAGCGCGGATCGGCACTCCAGTAGCTGGCGCCCACAGGCGGCGCGGAACTTAGCGGCCCCAGAGGAGCCCCGGCCGGAGGAAGCTGAGGGCCCAGAAAGGAAGAGTTTAGGACCGGGTCGCCCAGCCACAGGTGGAAACCTGGGCTCCCTGGAAAAGGTTCTCATCTCGATCTGGTTCTCTCTGAAACAAAACTCCAGGCCCGCAAACCTCCCAAAGTTCAGCATACTTCCCTATCCTCACCCCTGCCTTCCGGGCCACCCGCAACGGGGACCTTATCGGCGCCTGGGGTCTCCTCCTCCCGACCCAGGGCGTCGCGGGCACAGCTGGTGGCCACCAAGGGGCTTGGGCGCTCGACGACGCCGGAACCTGCGAGACCCTCCCTCTGGGCGGGGTGGCATTCTCTACGGTGACTTCTGCTGCTGTCTTCTGGGTCCGCTAGGATTCCGTTGAGAGAGGACTAGAATCATCCATTTTCGTGGACAGGAAGCCCCAGAACGAACCACATCTGTCCCACTATGCGCTTCCGCCTCCTTCCTCTTTGCAAGCTCCTGGTTGGGATGGAGACATTGGGCGAGCTCGCAGATCCCGAACTCTCGGGGGTCACTCGTGGCTGAACAGCCCTGGAATATGGCCTGTGGGCCCTTCCCGCCTAAGCCCCCAGGACCATGCTGCTCATCTTGTCAACCGGTTCCCGAGCCCCTACCCTGGCTGCAGCACCGGCTCACACAGACGCTCTGAGCTAATAACAGAATCAAAAGCGGTGGGTTGGGTGTTCTTGCTTTCCCTGCTGAAGCCTAGAATGTAAGCAAGCCCTAGACATCAGCTCTGAGTGGGCAGGGGCCTCTCCCTGCCTAGAACTGCACTTGCCATGGGTAGGCACCCAACCCATATTAGTAAGAAGGAATGCATCCCTGCTCATAACAAGAAAGGGGTCAAGCAACCTGCTGACCTGTTACCTTCTCTACTCACCTCTTGCTTTCAGCCCAAGCCCACTTCAGACCATTGTCTCATTCAGGTCCCAGAAGTCCTAAAGGTCTCTCACAGTACAGGCAACTCTTCACATGAAAGGGAGCTGCAGATGTTATTTCAATGCCATCTGGCCTCTATAAGGTCCTGCATCATGAGAAGGTTCTGATGATGGGAAAGGTCCATAGGAAGGTTGTCAGAAGGGCAAGAGACTAGGGCATGGACAGCCCTTTGCAGACCCTGAAAAATTGCTCAGTAATGCAAAAATTGTCCATATATAAGTTCCTTCTTTTCTAGCTAGTGAACCAAAGGACTGCTACAGGCAAGGAAGACCATCTGACTCAATTCCGGAGGTTCCTTAGCATGCTGCTGAATGGCTAGGAGAATGGCCTTTGCCCATAAAGCATTAGATGCAGACCACATGATTGGAGGTTTATTCATCAGGTTTCTGCCCAGGTCTGGATTAGATAGGGACAAGGCTGGAAGAGCCATATGGGAGAGAAGACCAAAGAGAGAGAAAACTTGACTCCCTGCCTAATTCTAGCAGAATTCCACTTTGATGTGTTTTTTAAATTGTGCTCTTCTGTTTGCCCAAGACAAACAGCCTCCATGAAAATGGAGGCTGCCATGAGACATCATCTTTGACTAGAATTATTAGGAAATGCTCATGGAAGAAATATACCTTTTGGATTTTTTCCCCCACCACACTTCAGAATACAACTAGAGAAAAAGTTTGCCAACAGTGCTTGTCATATTAGCACCTTGTGAAGGTTTTTCATAGATGCTGATTATTATTTTTAAAATCATTTTGGAAATAGGAGCCAAACACTGGCTTGTGAATGTACTTACTTTAGTATTTACATGATGAAAAAAGGAAATAAAGTTTCCTGTCATGAAACAAGTTAGAATTAAACAGGTGACTTTCATGTCCCGATTTCCAAGGTTTTCTGTTTGTTTCAGACAGATAAGATCATCCATGGGTTCCTGAACAAGTAACAGGTCTCATTTTCCCTTGTAGAACAGAAGACATGGAAAAATCAGCACATTCGGACTATATTCGTATTTCTGTACTACTTTTTGCTGTAATCAATTTTTGCAAGAGCCCCTAACATCTCTTGAGTTTGGGCCATGTCCATAGTCTACAAGGGAAAATGAGATCTGTTACTACTCCAGTTACCCATACTTACTCTATCTGTATGGAACAAACAGAGAACCATGAAAATCTGTATGCAGACATCACTTGCTTGGTTCTAACCTATTTTGCAAAAGGAAACTTCTTTCACTCAAAGAGATGAAATTTATAGGATGGCTTGGGAATGAGAAGATTCAGGTGGGACCATGGAAGCCAGATTTGTTCTTCTGTGGATGGTAAGATTGTCTTCAGGCACTGTCACTTCTTTCTGATCCTGAGACAATATTTTAGAATCTCCTAAATTTCAATACGATGTGAGTGGTAGAAGCCATGGGTTCTAATCTTAGCAGCTACTGTGGTGAGTGCTCCTGGCAATCACTCATCTTTGTTTACTCTTGCTTCTTTGCCTATAAAACAGCAGTGGCTGAATCGGCCCACTATGTGTAGCTGCTTAAAGGAGACATCATGACAGTGCTTATGAAGCTCTGCAAATGCATTGCATTTATAGTAGTACTAACTGCTAAAAAGGAGATGAAAATGATGTTGAGATGGGAAAAGTGTGGTATGAACAATTCCTATTTACATGTGCAACTTACATTTTCTTTCTATTTACATGTTCAATTTCCCACTTCCTTCCTTCTTTCCCTACCTTCCCTTTCCTTCCTTCCTCTCTCCCTCCTTCCCTCTCTCTTTCTTTCTTTTCTCTCTCCTCCTTCTCTCTTTTTCTTTTTTTCTTCCCAGACTCTCACTCTGTCATCCAGGCTGGAGTGCAGTAATGCAATCTCGGCCCACTGCAACCTCTGCCTTCCAAGTTCAAGTGATTCTCTTGCCTCAGCCACACGAGTACCTGGGATTACAGATGTGGGCGACCACGCTTCATTCATTATTGTATTTTTACCAGAGACGGTGTTTTGCCATGTTCATCAGGCTGGTCTCAAACTGCTGTCTTCAAGTGATCTGCCCTCCTTGATCTCCCAAAGTGCTGGGACTATAGGTGTGAGCCATCACACCTTGCCCATTTATTTTAATTTCATTATATTATTGTCCTTTCAGTCTATAAGTGGAAATGAGACAAAACCATCCTCATTCTTTAAGGAAGAATACAGCTTCTAAAAGTTTTGGTTACCAAAATTTTTTGAAGGTGTAATGAGAATGAGTTACCAAAACAGGACGAGTTGTAGAAGCAGACCTGGAGTTGAGGAAAATTTTACTTATGTGGATATATTTTTTTCCTCTCCCTGGTTCCTATCACCTCTCAACATATATTTACTGAGAAAGTTGTTCACAATTTGAAGAGGTTGAGCTAAAGGTCTTAGCAAAGAAATGCAGACAGAAGCTGCAGATTCTGCCTTTTTTTTTTTTTTTTTGAGACAGAGTCTTGCTCCATCACTCAGGCTGAAGTGCAGTGGTACGATCACAGCTTGCTGCAGCCTCCACCTCCCGGGTCCAAGTGATTCTCCTGCCTCAGTCTCCTGAGTAGCTGGGACTACAGGCAAGCACCACCATGCCCAGCTAATTTTTTGATCTGTATTTTTAGTAGAGACAGGGTTTCCCCATGTTGGCCAGGCTGGTCTTGAACTCGTGACCTCAAGTGATCTACCTGTCATAGCCTCTCAAAGTGTTAGGATTACAGGCATAAGCCACCACACCCAGCCCAGAAGCTGCATATTTGAATACTAGCTCTGCAATGTATTCATTCTGAGACCTTGGGCATATCATTAACCTTCCATATCTTAGTTTTCTATCTGGGAAACTGCAGTGGTACTTATGACCAATTTCACGGAGATGACAGCAATAACTAATGATAGGCACTTAGATTTTAGACTTAATGGGAGTTAGTTCCCTTGACACAGCAGTATGAGAACAATAATAGCCAAAGAGTGAAAAAGCTGGATTATCCCTTAGAAATGAACTGTATCATTACTGATTATGAATACCTCAATTTATGACAGATTCTTATGTAAGAATGCCAGAGAAAAGTAGCCATGAGCTATAATACACAAAATTGTTTACTACCCAAGATAATCTAGGTGCTAATACGGATGGTACTACATCTGTGAAATTCTGAAACCCATGAAGCATTTGAAGATATAAAGCCAAATAAAACATAATACAGAGGGAAATGATTTTGATTATGTAACACTTATATATAGCATTTCATTTTACATTTTCAAATTGCTTTTCAGTCATTGGTTTATTCTTCATAGCATACCTGGGGAGTATATCTGTTTATTTATTCTCTCTTCACAACTGAGGCAACTGAGACTGAAACAGGCAAAGTGGTTTGTCCAAGAGCAAAGCCAGGGTCAGGGTAAGAAATTGTTCATTCATTCTTGGCAAGGCACCAAAGTCTGTGTGGTGGTGGTGCACAGAGGTGGATACTGTCTATGTGGCTTCTACCTTGCAAGAGCCTGCAGTCTGTTGAGACAATAAGCAGTTCATGAATTCTGTCTCTGAGAGTGCTCAGACAGCAAGGACCCGGGTTCAGAGGAGGAGAGGGTGAGAGTTCCCTAGGATTCCTGGAGAGAGTGGGATACAGGGCCCTTGAGGGATGGGTAAAATTTTGGCAAATGAAAGGGTGGCT